GACAGCTCTTTCTACTTACAGAAAGACCCAGTGGTTAGAAATTTTCTGAATTTAGGTGAAATTTAGTCCCTAAAATTTAGTCCCTAAAACTTCTTCTCATTCTGCCCCCTGGAAATATAGAATAAATCTGGTCTCGTTTTGGGTCGTTTTAGTATTTGCTGAGGCCTCTTTCTCTCTTCCAGGCTCCACATCCCCAGTGCTTGCCCACCACTCTGTGTCATGGCTTCCAAAGCACGCACGGCCCTAGACCAGGTCTGCCAGATGCAGCACCTGAGAGTGAGACTTGGTTTGTGTGAGTTTCTCCTGTCCTCCTTTCTGCTAAGGAAATTTTTGTAGGTCTCTCTTATTTTCTTTCCCTTAAAGGAACGTGATTGATAGTCACAATTCTATCTTAAAATATCATTTGTACCAACAATTTAGGAAGAAATCGATGAGAAATTATCTTCTTTAATACGAAGGTGCCTGGTGACTGAGTGGTGCTGGAATAGCCACCAGGATGCGTGAGGCTTGTGCTCCACTGCCTTTGGCAAGTCTCTTGGCCTCTCTGAATCTCATTTTGAGATAAAGGGATTATTTCTAAATCTGCAGTTCTACAATTCTAGTTCAAATAAAGGTTTACATGACAACATGAAAGCCTTAAAAATTGTTAATAAATAGGCTCAAATTAAGAGCAAAATCACTAAGACATGACGATATAAACATTATGTTACTAAACATATTAATAATATAAAATATACAAATAAGACGATTTGTCAAACAAATTGACTAGAGTCAATTTATATTTGTGCCATACTGATTCCCCCCGCCCCCAAAAAAGGCTTTTCAAATAGAGAAGTTCCAAGAATGTTACATAAAACCCATTTGAATCTTGGTGTTCCTTGATGACAGAATTTGACTTTCATGGGGGCAGGAGGGATAGGGTTTTAATAGAATTTTTTTCTGTTTTTTTCCTCTAATAAATTCATGGTATGGAATCCCACCCATAACTATGTAGGATTAGGATATTGACAACGTCTAGAAATATATCTTCTTTTATTCTAATATGCATAATCTGAATTTGGATTCAGTGTAACTCAAATGAATAGAGGATTTAATTTAGCTTTAAAATACGTTATTTAAACATTTGAGTTAATGAAAACTTGGAGAGTTCATTATTTTCATGGATTTAAAGATTATAAAATACATAAAGCTTCAGTACTCATGATTTTCCTTTACTGTTATAATCCACCATCGTTTTTTTGGTTCAAGACTTGGGGGCACCTGTTAGTAATGGTGAATTTTCATATCATTATATGACACTATTGTGACACACTCAGTCCTTATTTTTAGTAGAAAAAGGAATAGATAAAAGAAGTGTAGGATATTTGAACCTTGTCAGATGTAATAAAGGAAATATTAATGCCAATAAATTCAGAAACACATACATAACAGCAAAGTCATGCAGAAATTTCCTGTGAATATTATTATAGGATGGGAGTGGTTGCTCTGTGGTTCAGGTGCTGGCAGTTACTACACCTTCCGTCATAATCATTGGAGGTGGAGTCTGTGAGACTGTCTGACCCTTGTGAACTGGAAGGGCTAATTTGAGAAGGGTATGGTGTGAACTGTGGCCTTTTATAGGCTGAAAACTGGGCTTTGTTAAGTGGTTGCTGAATAAATGCATGACTTGCATTGTTGGGCAAAGAAGAGAGGGCATTGCCTTTTTTCCCTGGAAAAAGCAAAGAAGTAAAGACGTTGAGCCTCATAGAGCACACACGTACTCATCAAGTAGCCGGTTGAAGTGCTGTTGACTTCAGGTTAAAATTGTATGCCATCAAAGAGGAGGATCTGGGAAGAGCTGAAGGAAAGGGTTGCTGGACACTGAAGAAGCTTTAGTACTAATGAATGTACTGTTGGATTTCACTGCAGGGATAGAGAATAAAGGACTAATATGAAAAAAATTACCCACCCCTCATTTATTCATCAAATAAATGTTTAGGCACCTTGATAGGCCTTGCAATACAAGAATGAAAGACCCAGCCCTGCCTTCAGAGAGATTACATTTTAGAGGAAGGTCACGGGACAGTGTGATGGCTGCTGTAATGGAATAGAATCATGTGCAGGTACTCGGGCAGTACACAGTGGGTCCCCTGACTAGTTAAAGTTGCCTATTTTCTTGATCCAGTTTTGCTTGCCTTCAATTCCATTCTTCCTCCTAATTGTTATTTTAAAAGGTAACAGCTTTCAGAAGTGAAAAAAAGAAACCCAAGAGATCACCTAGTTTCTTGCTACTCAAAGGGTGGTCCATGGAATATTGGCATAGCATCAGTTGGAGCTTTCTAGGAAGTGCAGAATCTTACTAAAAATGGGCTGCACCCTAGACCTACTGAGTCAGAAGGTGCATTTTAACAATGCCCCCTAGGTGATTGTTTTTCTCGTCAAAGGTGGAGAAGCACTAATCCAGTTCGCCTTCTCTTCACCAGGTTTTGTAGATGAAGGGGATGGAGAGTGTGTGCCCTGAAGGCCCTACGCCCAGTAGCAAAGCTGTTTACTGATAGAGTCTTTCGTGCTTTCTCTGCTGCCTCAGTTGCTTCTTTCCTCTTCTATTGGCCTCTGTTAGTGTTTCATATTGTCAGATCTGCAGCTTCTTACTCGTGTCTCTTTCTCTGTCTGCCTTTGGTAGTTTTCTCTTTAAATTTCTCTGTTGAATGAGAGAATGGTACAGGTTACCCACCCTATACATCAACAAGAATGAGCACTTTTATTTATTCTTGATTTCTGGGAAATTTTTGGACCTATTCCTCTAATTTTTTTTTTTTTTTATGAGGAAGATCAACCCTGAGCTAACATCTGATGCCACTCCTCCTCTTTTTGCTGAGGAAGACTGGCCCTGGGCTAACATCCGTGCCCATCTTCCTCCACTTTGTATGGGACGCCGCCACAGCATGGCCTGACAAGCGGTGCGTTGATGCGCGCCCGGGATCTGAACCGGCGAACCCCGGGCCGCCACAGCGGAGCGCGCGCACTTAACCCCTTGCGCCACCGGGCCGGCCCCTCTCTAATATTTTTTTACTTGTTGCTCAGAACTTCCTTTGAAGTCAGTAGGAATTCTGTGTGCGCTAAGAGTGAGAAATAGTCCATGATGTTAGAAATGAGAGTCTACTTACAGATCAATTCATCTTGCTTTCTTTGTTACATAGGTTATCGCGTAACAGAGTCCTTTTGCTATTTGCATCAATCTCATGGAAGAAATAGTATCTGCTCTCTGGTGACCTGGAGTAGAACAGGGCTTTAGGGTTTAGGGGGTTTGTATTAAATCTTTTTTTCTGTAATACAGAAAAATAAAGATCTAAGTAGATAAACAGCCCATGTTTTAAGGGAGCCTTTGGTGTAGAAAGATATGGTCATAGAAGGATAATATGACAGCTTTAAAGAAAAGTGAATAGTCACTGAGAAGACCGCAGTGGCACAGTGTCTTGCACAGCAGTCAGCCACTCGCTCCTTGTCAGAGGTTTACCTTCTCTCCTGTCTTCTAAGTATTTTAGTTTATTTTTAACTCTGGAGTATGTTTTGATTTGAGTGATAGAACCATAATTTCCATGGATAGATAGATAGTAGGCCTCCTCTGTAAACTATGAAATACGATGAGTTTTTCTGTTTTGCTTGTTCTCATGTGTTTTTCTTTCAAGTCACTATCCCACCTTTTCTAACAACTCTTATTTCTTAGAAACCGTAGTTATATGTCACTTCTTGACTTTGGAGACTGTGTGATTAAATATTGTTCTACTTGTGTTTCACATCTTGTATCTTATTTTCTATTGACAATATATAGAAACAGATTGATTTATTTTTATGTAAAGTATTTTGAAACATAATTGCCTAGTCCAGAGATTTCTTGCATATATTGTTTTAGTAAAATTGTCACTTTAAATAGGGGGACATTGTAATAAGCAATTAAGTTAAATTCCTTTAGGCTAGGTTTAGGAACTGGCTGAAAGGTTAGAAATTTATTTTTCTTTATTATTTAAAAAATATATAATATTCCTCAGAATAGAACATAGAAATGTTTTGTATTACCAAGAATAAATTAGACATTAGATTCACAACCTTTAAAATACTGTTTAGCTTTTAGAAATATAAAAATTAATTTCAATATCTTTTTATAATGTATTAGAATATTACTTTTTGTTAACCCCAGAATTCATTTTCATGCTTCTCTTAGAAATGTTTTACTTGTGGCAAAACTCTATTATAAAATTGATTCAGGGCTGCATATTTGAATATTAAGGACAATTGATTCATTTTAATGAAATAACACGTTGCATTATATACATTATATTTATACATATGTAAGGTAAATGATTTATAGCTTTAGAGAAAAGCATATAAATTGGTTATCTTATGGGTTAAAAAAATAGACTCATGTTCTCAAGGAAAAAGTTAGAAAAATGTCTTAAATATGAGGATTGTCATTTAAATAGATTACAGAACTATAATGATCTCTAACTTAATCTCCTAATATAGCTGGACTCCTGTCTTCAGTATCCAGAATATCCCAGGAAATGGCTTCCATTGGCTCACGCCTCTTCAGTTGACTGATTCTTTCCTGCTTTAGGCACAGGAGGGAGCGGTTCTAAACTGCCCTGATAAATTTCACACATTTAATATGGATAAATTTCACACATTTAATATGGAAGACAAGTTTTTGTTTTCTGTCTGTGAAGTCTTTCATTAACTTTTCATCCCAAGCTTGTTCTATATTTTTAGTGAGCTTATTTCTTATGGTTCTTTATAAAACATAATGCGTGCCGTATGTAATGAAATTTCATTTTCAAAAGCTCACAGGGATCGGTCCTGTTTCTTTGGTTTTTATGCCATGTATTTTGTTGGGGCTCAAAGGACAATGATCTGTATTTGGTCAAATTAGGAAAATGAAGTTGAAACATTATAATTCCTAATAAGTTCATTTTATGAAACATTTATTGTGTAATGAATTTTATACTATTTTGTTCTCTCTGTAGACAAACGTGTGGAGAATTGGCCTCTGATGCAGTCCCCATGGGCTACACTTTGTATCAGCACTTTTTATCTCCTATTCGTGTGGCTGGGTCCAAAATGGATGAAGCACCGGGAACCTTTTCAGATGCGCTTCGTGCTCATTGTCTATAATTTTGGGATGGTTTTGCTTAACCTTTATATCTTCAGAGAGGTAGGTGTATTAAAATCAGTCTATAATAATTCCCCAGGGTTATTGAAATTACAAAATGAAAATGTTTAAAACCATCATTATAATATTGTACCCCAAGATAACTGTTATCTACTCTGATAAGTAAATTTTATACTCTGAAAGTATATTTTATATACTTTTATACTATTTTTTATACTTTTATACTTTTATACTTATATACTTTTATACTATTTTTATACTATTTTATATACTATTTATACTAATATATATATACTATTATACAGAGTATAATTTTACTCAAAGTAAATTTTATATTATTGACATTTTTCATTTTTGGATGACAAAAATATGAAACATACATAAAGTATGGGACAGTTACTTAAAATGGAATTTTGAAGCAGACAGTCTGGATCCTAAAATAACCCTTACTAGCTGTTCTGACACTGGAAGTTATTTAACTTTTCTGAAACTCATTTTCCCCATCTGTAAAGTGGGGATAATACCTACCTTCTGTCAGAGATAAGTGATATAATTTTTGCATAGTGTTTGGCACTTTAAGCACTCAGTAAGTAGCCGCAGCTATTTATTTATGATTCTCATTCAGCAGTTTCAAGTTTGGTAAGTGATCAAAATATGCAGATGTAAAATAACAATTTCAAGTTAAATCCTATTACAGAATGTCAGTGTATTTTGAGTTGGAGCTAAAATGAGTTAACTGTTGGGCCGGCCCCGTGGCTTAGCGGTTAAGTGCGTGTGCTCTGCTGCTGGCGGCCCGGGTTCGGATCCCGGGTGCACACCAACGCACCGCTTCTCTGGCCATGTGAGGCCGTGTCCCACATACAGCAACTAGAAGGATGTGCAACTACGACATACAACTATCTACTGGGGCTTTGGGGGAAAAATAAATAAATAAATAAAAGAAATAGTAACTAATGATTAGAATTTATAAAAAAAATAAAAAATAAAAATAAAATGAGTTAACTGTTAACACAACTGTTGCTAATCATCGTGTACTTTTCTGGGCACCAACAAATTCTCCATGATATTTTGAAAGGAAATCCTAAAAGCTAGATTGACACAGCCATTTTTTAAGTTGTAAGAGTATAAGAAATTTGTTTCCCAAGAGACTCCTCATTAAAATTCTATATGAACCCATAGAACTGGATTGGTGATGCTAGGAAAATAAATAGTACTCTCCTTTAAAAAAAATCTGGGGCCAGCCCCGTGACTTAGCGGTTAAGTGCGCGCACTCCGCTACTGGTGGCCCGCGTTCGGATCCCTGGTGCGCACCGATGCACCGCTTGTTGGGCCATGCTAAGGCAGCGTCCCACATACAGCAACTAGAAGGATGTGCAACTATGACATACAACTATCTACTGGGGCTCTGGGGAGAAAAAGGGGAAAAAAGGAGGAGGATTGGCAATAGATGTTAGCTCAGGGCCGGTCTTCTTCAGCAAAAAGAGGAGGATTGGCATGGATGTTAGCTCAGGGCTGATCTTCCTCGCAAAAAGAAAAAAGAAGTAAAAAAAAAGTCTTTCTTTAATTGACAACTTAGCCTACAGAATTTCAAATTTGTAAAAAACTTTATTTGGATACTTTTACCTAATTTGTTAGATGCAAACCACTATAGATCAAGAATAGAAATCAGTGCAGCTCTTAGATCTAAGTCATGGTTAATCAAAATTTCTCTTAATGTTATGAAGTAGATACAGTTGATGTCTCAGTCCAAAAGTTACATGTGATTTTTAATTTAGACTTCAATTTTAGAATAAATTGACACAGTAAATTTTAGAAATTCTAACACATTTCATGTGTTTATGTTTAATGTGTTAATGTTTAATGCATTTGACATTTTTTTAGACAATATTGCTTTTAAAAACAATTTGAAACGTTGCATATTGTATTTAGTGTTTTTAATGCTGTATCTACTAAAACTTTACTCCAAATATTATTCCCTTTTTCCCCAGTTATTCATGGGATCATATAATGCAGGATATAGCTATATTTGCCAGAGTGTGGATTATTCTGATAATGTTAACGAAGTCAGGGTAAGTACATTAAAAATGCTGTTAATGAGTAGAAGTGGGTTTTAATTTTATAGTCCCCAGTCTGTGAAAAACGTACTTTAATGTAGTGGTAAATGTGTATTGGATTGTTTTGAGTCAATAAAGCTATGCTTTTCTTTTCAAGTGCATGATTGAAAATCTATTTGCATACCCCTATTATCTTCTTTTGTTTGGTGGCGTGAGAGTGAATATGTGTTGGATTACTGGAATGCATTACTTAAAAAAAAAGTTTCATGTTTAGTGTAAAGATGATATTTTAGATTTTTGTTATTTTTGGTCAAGACTAGAAACTTGTAAAGAAAGTCTAATTCTTAAGAAAGTCTGAGGAAAAACAGACATTTTATAAATGATGTAATGTTTAGCAAATTAAGCATAGCACAATTGGTATATAAACTCAGTTTTTATTGTAATTGCAGAAAAATAAACCACTAGTAATATAATGTTATCATATTTTACTTTCCAGCCACCTACATCAATAAAATTACCATTTTACTCAAGTGGAAGAAACAATAAATTATTTTATGATTTATTGAACTCCTCTTGTGTACTGTGGTTCATATGAAAAATTATATATACATAAGACATATATATAAAACATATGTTATGTGTTTTGTGTTACATGAAATATATGTGGTAATAATATATATAGTAGCTTCCATTGAAAAAAATGGATTTTTGAAATTGGAATTGGGAAATATAAATGTCAGTATTTATCAAGACCCAAGAGCAGATGGCTTTGTCCTTACCATTGTATGTCCATGTGTTCATCTGCCTGTTAGAAGACTTAGGCACGGATGAAAAATCACCCCTTTGGTCGTCATGTTGGTTTTATTCATTCAGCAAATGTGTGTTGAACACCTACTGTGTGCAGATAGTGTGGGGGGGGTGCCCTGGGGATACAGGTGAAAAGACAGATGAGCTCCTGCCTTTATGGAGCTATTATTCTAGAGAAGAGGGGAGAGGCAGACAGTAATCACAGCACCAAACGGTTAACAACAAAATAAAACCCTGGCCGAGGCTGAGAGAGAGTGAGGGGAGCTGCTTTATTTAGATTCGTTGGCTAGGAGAAAATTCTTCTGATGACCACACTGCAGAGAAGCTCCTCAATGGAGAGCTGCCTCCTGCGGTCTTGCCTGGTTTGGGGGAGGAGAAAAGGCAAAGAATTTATCTTGCTTTCTTTTAGGAGTGCGCTTAGAAAAACCCCTGGATGAAACAACATACTAACATTTCGAGGATAAAAGTTTAAAAATACCACTCTGGTAATTGTGAACCTACCCTCCTGACATGCATAAAGGGTCAGTTCTTTAAATAATGAGCTATTGTGAGAACTGTAATCTAGGGAGAGAAAGAACCAGAGATTCACCACAGATTGCGTTTGCAACGTTCCTCCCACTCTCTTCTCCTCTCTCATAGTAAATGTAGTAGAATGAATATTTCAGTCAGAGACTCATTTTTGTATTCATTGTTATGTGGCCAAGAAGTATCACTTTTCACTTTGATGTAGACTATTCAAAGATAATGCAGTTTACAAACTAAAGAGGATTATTTATAGCTATTTGTGAATTGTGGCTAATTTAGAGGCCCAGATGGGAGAAAAAATAAGACATTATCTGTTACCTTCTAGATAAAGTTTATTTTGCCAAAATGGTTGTAATTACTTTGTTTTAAAGTACTAACATAATAGTGAACCTTAAACCTAGTGTTGCTGTGAGTAGCTATTTCAAGCCTGTTTTCAACCAGTTTTATCATTTTCAACAATATTATTGCTCAAGCAAATTCAGTAAATAATTCTCAACCTGTAAATACGAGACTTTATTTATTTATTGGACCTTTCTCTTTCCTCCTTGCTCACACTTTAAAATTGTAATTTTGTTTTTTAAAAGCAAAAAACAAAACCAAAACATACAAAAACCCATAACAACTAATAGACGCAGGAATAAAATGAGGAAGGGATCTTTTAACTCTGAAACTCCGAAGCCGGTCTAAGAATAAGTCTGTCAAACCCCTGACGCACGAAGGTTTATAATCAGATCTCACTTATGTCCTGCCTTCTTTGTTATTTGTACGTAGGGCATTTATTATACAAAATACGATGTTAAAAAGTGGAGTTTAGGTTGTTATTATAGTAGGATTCTTGTGAAATATTTTAAAACATATATACAGAGGTCATCTCTCACTGGGTCCTTGGATCCTTAATCTCAGCATGTAACGTAATCTTTCTGCACCATCTGGTGTCTTAATTAGAGCCAGGAAAAGACAAGACTTATTCATGTAAGCAGGATTATATTTATGACCTAGGAAATATTTGTTGTTTTTGTTTATTTGTTTCAGTTGATCATTTTAAAGATTTTACTGCCTAATGCAGACTACTGTGATTGGGTACTTACTTTGCTGCACGTTAAAGTGAGAGAGAGTCAGACACTAACAGAGACCAGTTGCTACACAAACATACTTGCAAGAATGTCTGAGGTACAGTACAGGCTAAGCGTGAACAACTGACATACCTTTACGAAGTGACTGTCTTATTTTCTCTACCAGACTGAAAACCTTCGCAGTGTGAGTGTGTTGGCAGCTCTGTGTTCCGCAGTCTGTACTGCATGACATCCAGCTACGTAACAGACGGAAAATTTGCTCCAAATTGTTGGCACTGTGGACATGTAGCTTTGGCTCTTTCTTTCCCATTTTTCCCCTGTGGATAGTTGCTCAGGTTTCTCACCTACTTAGGCAAAAAATGAGTCCATGCCTTGTACATTTTGTGCAGTGAAGATGATTTAGGACTTATTTACAGTGAGTATAAAACCATATGATAGGTGTGTATAACACGTGTTTCCTTTCTTTTTGCAGATAGCTGCTGCTCTGTGGTGGTACTTTGTGTCTAAAGGAGTCGAGTATTTGGACACGGTGTTTTTTATCTTGAGGAAGAAAAACAACCAAGTCTCCTTCCTTCATGTCTATCATCACTGTACAATGTTTACGTTGTGGTGGATTGGAATTAAGTGGGTCGCAGGGGGACAAGGTGAGCATTTCCAGGAAAATATCTGCACATGTTGAATTACAAAAATGTGTTGGGTGGAAAGTAATGAGAACCTGGGAATTTGCCTTGGTCTGTAATTTAACTTGCTAATTATTTCTGTGTTAATTTCATTTTAAAGAAATTTGAAGAAAGTTAAGCTTTAGCTTTTCATCTGTGACTACTTTAACACCTAAAGATTTGCCCCAGAGATGAGCATAAACTAAGCCTAAATGTAGCAAATAATATTTTGATGGGGAGCAGTTCCAGTGGTTCTGATCCAACGGATGCCAAGATATAACCCGTTAGCCTGAAGGTTCCATCTCTAGGCCAAGCCCAGAGCCCACCCCTGCTCTGAAATAGGCCTTGCGTGAACCTGTCAGTTCTTACTCAAAGGAAATTGTATATAACCTTGTTAATGTTAAAGAGGATCTGAAGTCATAGTTTGGCCAAGATCTGCCTCCAGCTTTTCAGATGCCTGTAGATTGAAGATGATTCACATTATTGAGCTGGAAACAGATGGCTCCTCTGACGGGGACCCAGGGTACAAGTCATTATGGTACAGTTCATTTTGCTACTTTCCATTTAAAACTATTTAGAAACCTAAGCAATAAGTACTGTTTTCTTGTAGATATGTATATTGGCATGTCTAAAGGCAATAATGGGACATTTACAAATCTATTTAAATAATTATATGTACCATGACTTTCCCCCCAAGAATAATAGAGTGAAAAGTAATACAGGCACTAGTTCTATATTAGGGCCTACTTAACCCACTGGAGTACCCCATTTAAAAAGTCGCCCCTTTGAAAGTCCTTTGCATTTGCAGAACACCCATTTTTATTTATATGCTAAAAGCTTGAGTCTCAACTTTAAAAATACCTAGCATGATCTGAAGAGAAGGCTTTGCCATTGGTACTCCTTTACAATTTTTATTCCTAATCTGTACTCAGGATTAAATGTTAGAAAATAATGTGGATTCATTTATTTATGTCCAAATGATTTATTGCCTAATAAGGGTTTCTGTATCTTGTAATTACCTCTTGTTTTGTCAAGCATTTTTTGGAGCCCAGTTGAATTCCTTCATCCATGTGGTTATGTACTCCTACTATGGGTTAACTGCGTTTGGCCCATGGATTCAGAAGTATCTTTGGTGGAAACGATACCTGACTATGTTGCAGCTGGTGAGTTAAATGCTTCTAAGGTTTCTTCTGGTGCAACACTGAAAATGTTTGAGTTTATTATTTGTAAAGTGCTGAGTCATTTTCAAGAATTTTCTTTTACAAAGTTGACTTTCTTTGTGCTCCAGCTGTGAGAGTTGAGACTGCTTGGCTCTGAGCTACCTGTGCAGAGACCTAGTGGTCTCAGCCACTTGCTTTTTTTTTTTTTTTTTT